AACTTCTAAAACTTAAAGTCATAATTTTGGTATTGCAATGCGAAATATAAACATGCTATTATACTTAACAATCATCATTAACATTTATTATTTATTCAGTATTTTTATTAATTACTTATGTTTCTACTTCTACTAACAAAACTAAATTAAACTTTGAGTATCTTCTTCTTAAAAACCTTTAACTTGTTTTTTTATTAAACACTTTCATTATACTTATGTTTATTTCAATGTTTTTGAATCGTAGCTTTCTTCCAATAGTTATTAATAACAATTATTCATGCAGTCTTTTAATTAAACAAATAGTAAATAAGGAATTTAACCGAAGTAATCTTAAAAAAAACAAGCTTTAATTTAAAGATACAGAAGCGTTTTTCCTATTAATTTATCACTTATAATCACAATCCTTTAATTAACAAAACAAAAATAAAATAATCAACTAAAGGACAGGAACTAAATATTTTTAGAATCAACATCAACATTAGGCTTATAATAAAATTTCTACACAGAGTTATAACTAGGTACATTAAAAAAATAAGAATAATCAAAGTAATCTAAAGTCTTAAAAACTTAAAATAAATAAATCATGAGCTAGTCGAGAAACCACTTTAACCGCTCAGTTATTTATCGAGAAACGAATTGAACTCATGAACGAAACGAACTCCAGTCGAGAACTTAAGACGGGCGTGATTTTTAAATTTCTCGATTTCTCGACACTTTTTTCTCGTCTCAAGTAAGGCCAGATTTCCCGGGAATTCTCGCTTCGAGAAGTCTCGACCAGAAACTCTAGTAGGTAGCGAAAATTAGTTCAGTATTGTTAAAAATACTAAAGCTTGTTCCATTAACTTTTAAAAATACATCGTACTTATTGTCATTCCTGTTTAATTTTTAAAGAAAGTCATTGATTCCGTAGTTATACAGTTCGTACTGAAACTTGAGTACAGTACAAATGTAATTGCGTATATTTTTTATAAAAAAAAATAATGTGAATCAATCAAAATCATATAATTCCAAATGCTTTATTAATGAAATAATTAAAGATACTTTGAAGATGTTACAAAGTTGTGACAAGCTTAAAAAATTAGGAACTTTTTGGTATAATCACAATGACATGCATTATGTCAGTATACAGGGTGTCCGCAAATTTGCACTGACAAAGTTTGACTGCATATTCACGACAATAAATAAATACGATCTACGAAAAAAAGTTAAATAAAAAATTTTGGTTTTTGAGTTTAAAAGTTTGAGTCAAAAATAAATCTAATTTAATTAACAACTTCATAACCCTTTTACCGATCACGTTAAAGTTTGGGACATTTATTTGGGCTATTATGGCATATATATATTTCTTAAATTTTTAGTCAAATCGATATACTGGGTGATAGTTTTCTCCAGTTATCTCTCCCTTTTAGCGGTCAAAAATTTTACAGTGGTCGTAATATTTTTAAAACGGGAAGCAACATTGAAACGGTCGTTTTATTTAAAAAAAAAATGTCTAAGGAAAATCGCCTACAGAAAGCTATTCTTGAGAAAAATTGCATTATTTGCAGGTCTGTACGTTTCGGTTTGCGTAGCAGTCTCACGGATTTAAAACTTTGAGTTCAGTAGGCCATGAAAACAAGATGTTGATTTGTTGATGGCTGTAGCTATCCGATAATGTCATTACTGTTGTGTTTCTTTAGGATTATCATCACTCCACACATGCAAATTATAGTTTGTGTGATGTTATCCACGGTTTCCCCAGCCACGGTTTATGACGTGCGGGAAATCATCTTTGGGATGGAGGAGCTCAGATCACCGAATTGCGGGCGGAAATTTATACTACATTTTCACATGTTTGTCGCACCTCACTTATAAAAAAATAAAAATAGAAGGAATAGGGGAACCTATAAGCAACTCAGCACCTCCCTCGTTTTTCTTTGGTTGCCCTCTAGGGGGTTGTAAAAGATTATTATTTAAATATCTAGAACAGAATTTTCAACTTTACGCCGGAAACAAATTTTTTTATCCCATCTAAACCTTCGTGTTCACAAAAATTTCGAAATACGTCGACTAGGGGGATCTATAAGCAACTCGGAACCACCCTCGTTTTTCTTTGGTTGCCCGTCTAGGGGGTTGCAAAATATTATTATTTAAATATCTAGAGCAGAATTTTCAACTTTATACCGGAAACAAATTTTTTACCCCATCTAAACCTTCGTGTTCACAAAAATTTCGAAATACGTCGACTAGAGGGATCTATAAGCAACTCGGAACCACCCTCGTTTTTCTTTGGTTGCCCGTCTAGGGGGTTGCAAAATATTATTATTTAAATATCTAGAGCAGAATTTTCAACTTTATACCGGAAACAAATTTTTTACCCCATCTAAACCTTCGTGTTCACAAAAATTTCTGAATACATCAGCAAGAGGGACCCACAAGCAACTCAGAACCACCCTCGTGTTTCTTTGGTTGCCCGTGTAGGGGGTTGCAAAATATTATTCAAATATCTACAGCAGAATTTTCAACTTTACGCCGGAAAAAAATTTTTTACCCCATCTATACCTTTGTGTTCACAAAAATTTCGATATACGTAGTCTAGAGGGACCTATAAGCAACTCAGAACCACCCTCGTTTCTTTTGGTTGCCCGTCTAGGGGGTTGCAAAATATTATTATTTAAATATCTACAGCTGAATTTTCAACGTTACGCCGGAAAAAAATTTTTTACCCCATCTAAACCTTCGTGTACACAAAAATTTCGAAATACGTCGTCTAGAGGGACCTATAGGCAACTCAGAACTACCCTCGTTTTTCTTTGGTTGCCCGTCTAGGGGGTTGTAAAATATTATTATTTAAATATCTAGAGCAGAATTTTCAACTTTATACCGGAAACAAATTTTTTTACCCCATCTAAACCTTTGTGTGCACAAAAATCTCGAAATACGTTGGCTATAGGGACCTATAAGCAACTCAGCACCACCCTCGTTTTTCTTTGGTTGCCCGTCTAGGGAGTTGTAAAATAACATTATTTAAATATTTAGGCAGAATTTTAAACTTTATGTTGGAAAAAGCCATTTAAACTCGTTTCGTTTTTTCCCGTATAAAGTTAAAAATTCTGCTCCAAATATTGAAATAATAATATGTATTTCACAACCCCCTAGACGGGCAACCAAAGAAAAACGAAGGTGGTTCTGAGTTCCTTATAGGTCCTTCTAGCCGATGTATTTCGAAATTTTTGTGAACACGAACGTTTAGATGGGGTAGAAAATATTTTTTCCAGCGAAAGTTGAAAATTCTGTTCTAGATATTTAAATAATATTATTTTACAACCCCCTAGACGGCAAGAAAAGAAAAACGAGGGTGGTTCTGAATTGTTTATAGGTCCCTCTAGCCGACGTATTTCGAAATTTTTGTGAACACGAAGGTTTAGATTTGGTAAAAAAAATTTTTCCGGCGTAAAGTTGAAAATTCTGCTAGATATTTAAATAATAATATTTTACAACCCTCTAGATGGGCAACCAAAGAAAAACGAGGGTGGTTCTGAGTTGCTTGTGGGTCCCTCTAGCCGACGCATTTCGGAATTTTTGTGAACACGAACATTTCGATAGGGTAAAATTTTTTTCCGGCATAAAGTTGAAAATTCTTCTCAACATGTTTAAATAATAATGTTTTACCAGCACTTAGACGGACAGACAATAATGGGGGTGGTGCTGAGTTGCTTATAGGTTCCCCTATTCTTTCTATTTTTATTGTTTTATAAGCGAGTTGCAACAAACATGAAAATGTAGTTTAAATTTCCGCCCGCAATTCGGTGATCTGAGCTCCTCCATCCCAAAGATGATTTCCCGCACGTCATAAACCGTGGCTGGGGAAACCGTGGATAACATCACACAAACTATAATTTGCATGTGTGGAGTGATGATAATCCTAAAGAAACACAACAGTAATGACATTATCGGATAGCTACAGCCATCAACATCTTGTTTTCATCGCCTACTGAACTCAAAGTTTTAAATCCGTGAAACCGAAACATACAGATTTACAAATAATGCAATTTCTCTCAAGAATGGCTTTCTGTAGGCGATTTTCTCAAACAATTTTTTTTAATAAAACGATCTTTTCCATGTTGCTGTCCGTTTTAAAAAAATACGACCACTGTAAAAGTTTTGACCGTTAAAAGGGAGAGATAACCGGAGAAAACTATCACCCAGTATATCGATTTGACTAAAGCTTTAAGAAATAGTACGCCATAATAGTTCAAATAAATGTCCCAAATTTTAACGCGATCGGTAAAAGGGTTACGAAGTTATTAATTAAATTAGTTTTATTTTTGACAACATTGAAGGCTTGTAACTCAAAAACCAAAAATTTTGTATTTAACTTTTTTTTCGTAAATCGTATTTATTCATCGTCGAGAACATGCAATCAAACGTTGTCGGTGAAATTTGCGGACACCCTGTATATACAGTGTAGGTTTTTCAGAATCAGAATCAGAATTCCAAAAATTTGCAGACATATTGATAAACATTCTTTAGTTTTAAGTAATTCTCGTCTTATTTTAGGTTATTGTGTATTTATTGCCAAGTTTTCTTTTATCAGAAATGCTCAACTCTCCTTTTAACTTCAACATAAATTCCATTTGATTGTTCTTACAATTTAGGGATATTCAGTATCAATAGTTTGACATCCTGTACTACGATAATACATATATAATTATTCTAGTATTTAATTATAAGTGTACATAGTTCAAAACGTTTAAAAATGTACTATATCTAAAAGGTAAAAAGAGTTTTTAAAGGAAGTTCAAATTCGGTTGAATTAATTGTATTAGTAATGAACACAACCATAATACCAATACCAAATGATTTGAATATTACATTTAAATATGTAATAATAAATTTAAATATATAAATATTATCTTTGGCTATGTACCCATCTTCATGAGACTAACTTATTAGTATTAGTTTCATTAAAATGTTAAATATAAATTATGCATATTTTAATAGTTACTTACCTTTTTCAGGTGTAAATGATGTATATGGTAAGCACTCTGTAAATAGCAGAAGGAACAAGACCAGTCATCATAACTCAGGTATGTTCCATTATGTATTTATAATATACAAGAATATAACAAAAAATGTAACAGTAAGTACTTTAATTCCAGCTAGGCCAAATTCATCTTGTCCGTAAATTTCAAATACGCAGTGTATTGCTCATATATTTAAATATGCAATATAAAACCTTCGTGAACTGCAGGGTCCTACCAGGAATTGCCACTGCCGATATCTCTTAAGAAAATTGTTTATTGGTACCATTGTGAATAATCATTTCTCGAAAATTTTTTTTTTACAAAATTAATAGTTTATAACAAATTAATAATCAATTATTGCAAAACGAGCCGTGCAGTTGCTATTATTTCCATGCGCTACCCCAGAATTAAAAAAAAAAACGTTAAAATTGGTCCACAATTACCGGAGATATCGTAAAATTTTCGGGCAGTCTCGATTTCCACTTTTGAACGTTTCTTTCTTATTTCCCTACTATATTCCAGGTGTAAAAATGTATTCGAGGACGTTTTTAAAGGGTTAAAAATTACTATAAAATGCATTTTTTCGATATCTTTAACCGTTATTATGAAGTTTAAGGGTTGATTGATTTATTACCGAAATTTCAAGTTTTAATGTTTATAAATAAACAAGTTATGAATTTAAAAAAACGATATCTCGGCTAAAAATGATCCTAGAACATTTTTTTTTTAAATTCGTGAAAAATTACCAGGATTACGAAGATCAAAGCGGCTTTAAAAAATATTCATTCTTCGCAAAGTTATTAACGAAAAGCCTTATAAACAAATTAGACTATTTGTTTATATGCCCTTTTGAGGAGGTTAGCCTATGAAATTACAATCTCCAATTGCATATCTTGAAAATATAAGTCAAGAGGAAACAAATGAGCCCTCATAAAGCCCTTTATTATAACGCTAACAACCGCGTTTTTGCAATTGAAAAAATGCTATTTCTAATAAACGAATGCAAAAACAAATAAATATTTTTTTACCAAATTTTCAGGGTTTCTTAAGGGTAACAAAATACAACTTATACTGCAATTTAGAGATGATTCTTTTCTTCTATTTATAGCAAATTCAAATTTCGCTGTTTTTTTGCAATTATTTAAACAAATTGTTAAGATTTTAATTTAGCAGGTCTCAAATGAAGCGTTTTTTGAAAACCTATAAGTATAAACAAAAGGAAAAATTCCTGTTGGAGAGCGCTTTTTAATACAGTTAAAAAACTCCGTTTTTGGTAATTTTTACATTATAATCATTGTTTAAATAATGATCTTGTTGTTTTAAACCGATACTTTTAGGGAAATATTATTTCTTTTTGCTTAAACTAATGATTAAACCAAGTTTCAATCTGAAACTAATTTTTTTACAAATTTTTTTCAATATACTGGGCTAAAGTTATTTTAATTGTTTTTGGAGTTTTTTTGGTCATGGCCAATTTGATAATAGGATAGGTCCTATACAAGGAAAACTGTCCTAAAAGTAGAAAATTGCAAATATCTCTAAAAGTAGTAACGGCAACCCTAACAATACTTATAAAGAACTTAGTTAGAACCACCTAGTATTAAATGTTTTAATTTGTTGATCTACTATAATTTAGTGTTACCTATGCCCTTTACATGTACCAAAAATCTGCTTGATATCATGCTCCCGAAAAGCGTTACTAGCATCTCTGCAGACTCTTGCACCTGTCAAATTTTTTCTTTCAAAATTAATATCTCAAAATCTGTAACTATTACGTATAGGGAATATTTAATAAAGTGATCTTCAAATTTCACGTAGAATCCGAAATTGCATTAACATATAGGGTGTCGCATTTAAAATAAGAAAGTTAATGTCGACTTCCGGTATAACCGGAAGTGTCAGAAAGTTCCAAATATGTTAGCTGTGTTGGCCCTACTGTCTTTGCTAGATTGCCAAATTTTCAGATTTAGCGGATCAGTACTTTCCGAGATATCGACAGTAGCGATTCCTGGTGGGACACCCTGCATATTTACCAGACCCAAGTAAAACTTTTGCAAGGAAGGTACCCACTACTAAGGTTTCCTATATTTGTTTTACTGAGAACAATTACACACTGTATATTTGTTACATAAATAGATGTTACAGACCTAAAATTTGTGATAATTTGTAATCATTTACCACTATAAATAATAAAAAGTGTCAATAAGGGAGAAGGCAGAATCAATTTCGGATATTTTCAGGTACAATCACAATTATGGACCTCAAGTACATAACTATTTTATGTGACGAATGGTAGATATAAATTTAGCTGCAACATTAAATGCAAAGGTCAAATGTGTTGAATAAAATATTAATAATTCAGCGAGTGCGAAATCATTCAAATCTGCCCGGCTGTAACAAGTGCAAGAGTATGGCTTCGTATGATATGCAGGGACATGTTACTGAAATCAAATGCAAATGAATACATTCCTGGAATATTTAGTGTATGAACTGTGATTAATTCAGCATGATGACAGACACCATCGGTGTCATTTTTTGTTTGTTTCACGCCATGATATAGCGGTTTAAACATTTAAAATGATACACCACTTACTTTTATAATGAGCGAAGGTTGAGAGGAATGACGAGAAAACACAGATACAAACGTAAATTTAATATAATAAAAAAAAATTGAAAAAAGGATTCGAATTTGAAATCAGCCCAATTAAGCATATGCTTCTTAAAAAATCATGCTGAATTTATCCCAAGTTAAAACAATTAAAACTTAAAGACTAAACAGGGGGAAGATCCTAAATGTGTAATTGTTAATTTAAAAATTGTCCCTGTGACATACCGCCATTAATTTACATTCTTTCGCGTTATCATAATTCAAAGACATTACACTGATAATGTTTAATCACAATGTGCAGTAGTGTAACTCCCTTAACAAAATTTTTGTTTTAATTTTTTTTGTGTTTTTATTCCCAATTATAGAAAGTGGAGAAAAACTACAGTACCAGCATTTTTAGTGGGCCAACGTACCTTGAACATTCCTATTTTAGTCCAGGATACTTTGATTTTTTTAATTCTCATAACCATTTGAAAATTTTTTTTCGAGGAAGTCTCCTAGACCATTTCCACTCGTTGGAAATTAATTTCAAAAGTCTATTTCTTGCGTAACTTCGACGTTTTTTTATTCTTTTCAAATTTCTCCAAACAGTAACACAACTAAAGTAGGTACTTCTCTTGATGCGTGAATTTTTTTAATAGTTTAGAGATCAATAAATTAGTGCACCGATGTCTTACATCTAAGAAGATATCTAGAAAGACTTTATGATATCCTAAAAATTGATATTTCCCATCCTTCCTTAAAGGACTATTTACATCTGCCTTATTCTGCAATTTATGAAAAATTTTTATATGAAAAGGTATACCTATTTATCTTTTTAAATTCTATAGGCCCTAAAACAATTTGAAACAATTTAAGACCGCCCTGTATATGTTTGTCATTTTATGTGAAGCTGTGGAATATAAAGAAAAACTGATGACACCGTAGTTTTCCGTTTAAATTCAATTGAAATTAAATTGAAAGCATTTTATTTTAATTCTGGGTAACTTTTTGGTAAAATGCAATCAAGTTAAATTTTTGTTATTGGCGCATCCGGTAAAATTTAAAAGTTATTTTGACAGTCTGCCGTGACAAAGTATTTGAAGCAAGTTGATCAAGTGATAAAACAAGTTCACGATTGTGTTCATGATGAAACTCGCGTCTTGCATTTCACTCCTGAGAATAAACAACCAATAGAGTATCATCATACCTATTTGCAATCCAAGCCAAAAAAAATTAATATTGACTTTACTGGCTACCGTTTGTCTCGTATAAGGAAGACATTCTTTTGGTAAACTTTGTAACTCTAGGCGATATTGTTAGGTTATTCGACGATTTTTTTTTCTGTATTTTATTCGAGTAAATGAAACATGTATACTCGAAGATGTTGCGTCATGTTTTCAAATGGGAGACTAGAGCACAAGGAGCACGAACTCATACGGGAAAATTGATAAAATTTGTAATAGTAGAAATAATTGTCTACTTACACTATTAATGGCTCCGAAAAGGACGAAGTTGACAAAATTACTTTTCAAACGAGTAAAATTACACTAATGTTTGTGTAAGTCTAGCGAAATTGTTCGAATTGCCCACCCTGTACCATTTGGCATTGTCCTAAGCGTGTGTAAACGCCGTCTACACTTCGTTCAAGCATTCCCGGGTCGATTTGATTTAT